ATGCGGGGCTGCGCCGCACAGCAGAGGTGAAAGGGCCCTGGCTGAGGGACCCCTGCAGATGGACGCCGGGCCGCGTGAGTGCCGGGGCTGCCCCGCGTGGCCCAGCGTGTTTGTGGCGGCACGCGCACGACACTGCACTGGGCGAGCGCCCAGAGGGCCGCGCACATGAGGGATGCCCTTGCACCCTGTGAATGCAGGCGGACCGCGAGCGCGCCGAGCGCGCGGCGGAGGAGCTGTCAGCAGCGACGTTCCGGCCGGAGGTCAGCCGCATGGCGCAGCTGATGTGGAGCCGCCAGGACGGGGGCGCCGTGCCGGCCTGGCAGCGCCTGAGCAAGGGTGCGTAGCGGTGGTGGCTGTGGCCGCTGGAGGTTCACTGCTGCGCCCTGCGGCTCGCAAAGGGCTGATGAGGGAGCCGCTGCCAAGCTGCTTGGAAGAGGCGGGTGGCCCGTTTGCTGGGCAAGAAGGGACTGTGCGACCGTGCCGCGTTGGGCATGCTGGGATCGCCCTGCACATTGGCAGCGGCTGTTGACCCCTCGCACGCTGCGCGGCGCATCGGGGCTGCCGTGTGCGCGGCCGCCGCAGGCAGCAAGACCAAGACGGCGGAGCGGCTCGAGGCGCTGCGGCGCGACAAGGAGGAGGCCGAGACGCGGGAGTGCACGTTCAAGCCGGCAATCAGCAAGCGCAGCGACAAGCTGATGGCGGACCGCAGCGACACGCTGAGGTCACTGAACGTCAGCGCCCACCAGCAGCTGTACCAGGACTCGCTCAGGCGGCAGCAGAAGTGAGGGGCCAGGGGGCGCCGCGAGGGGGCATAGGTGCAACGGAGTGCTGGGGCCAGCACAGTTGGCTCGGCAGCACGCGTGCAGACAGTCAGGAGCGTGCGCACGAATTATTTGTGCATGCAAGCTGCGGCTCACGCAGCTGTGCACACCCACCACACTGACACGCCCCCCTCCCCTGCCCTCCCATCCCCTCCCCTCACACACAGCCCACACATTACACACTCATCCACACCCTAACAACCACATACAACAGTCGAGTGTACACGCACACAGAGATACACACACACACACACACACACACACACACACACACACACACACACACACACACACACACACACACACACACACTCTTTCTCTCTTTCAACAACACGCGACTGCCCCCTCCCACACACCCCCCAGGCAGGAGCAGTACGCCACCTGGTACCCTGAGGATGTCACCTTCCAGCCCAAGCTGGTGTCGGCGCAGCGCCCCTCATCCTCCCTGGACAGCGGCCCCAGCCGGGCCGGCCCGGCGGCGCTGGCGGAGCGGCTGTTTGCCAGCTACGACAAGGTGAGCGCGTGCATCGGCAGGTGCATCGTGGTTTGTGCATGCGTGTGTTTGTGCGCGGGTGGGCACGTGCGTGTGTGTGTGTGGGTATTCGCAAGGGGCCGTCATTGGAGGGGCGAGGTGGACGTTGTTCGTGGCATGGTACACGAAAAGGGGCACAGCGCTGGTGCAAGCCTGGCAACAGCGGTAGCCCGCCGGCTGCCAAGGCTAGCAGAGGCGCAGGGCTGGGGGCGGTTCCCAGCCAGGTCAGGGCAGACGGCATGCCGGCTCAAACCCACTCATTGGGCTCATGTCCTCACCTGTTCTTAAGCGTGCATTCACGCGCGCGCGCGCATGCACACACACACACACACACGCGCGCACACA